TGTGTGTGTGTGTGTGTGTGTGTGTGTGTGTGTGTGTGTGTGTGTGTGTGTGTGTGTGTGTGTGTGTGTGTGTGTGTGTGTGTGTGTGTGTCGCACGGGGGTTGTGTCTCAGGTTAACCAATCACAGCAAAGTTGGCACACGTCAAACTGGACCTTCTGCAGATTGAACGGAGGCTTCCCCTCTGACATAACTGTACACTGTAAATGTTTAATTAATCAGAAATGACGTTTTATTAGAACAGGACAGATCGAGTATTGCTTTTATCACTGGTGGCCTTTGAGATATTAGTCTAATAGTTACTGATTACATTAATAGGGAAAGAGGCATTAGAACAATTTATGGGGAAAATTGGAAGCTTAATTTTGGCCTATTATGTGCTTTCAACCATAAACGTATTCATTCCTGAATGTTCAACATTGTTATGTTTCTTTAAAAACAAAAAGTGTCATTATACACTTAGCCTACCATTTATTCAGTACACTTACATACATTGAATTCAGTCTTATACAACAGGACTGCAAAAATCCTACCTCCATGAAGGTTATAATCTTCAGTTGTTGAAATGACTGAAGATAGTTATTGACTCAACATTTAAGACTTCACTTCATGTGGCTTTTAATCTGTATTGCAATATCCTAAGAGGTGACTTTCTGTTATATCTAGCTCATTGGTATAGTCAACATGGGCAACATATTGGAAGCACTTCTCAATGTAATGTGATAATACTCAACAGATAAATAAATACAGCATACAAAATTATCAGACGGTTACAATTACATCTCTAGTACAAGTTTGTAGAAAACCGTTGAAATGTACAACCTTTGAGTGAAGCATTAATTGAATCACGGTTGCATTAACTAGTTGTATAAAATAAAAATAAAAGCATAGTAAAACGGCAGCATTGACTGACATGTTCCCAGAATTCCTTGCTATTTGAGAAGCTGCAGGGGTTAGTTTGAGGGCAAGGTATTATGAAACGGGCTCCTTCACTGCCAAACCTACTGAGTGATTGAACTCTGTGTGACGCAAAGTCTTTATCTGATCCGTGGTGAACTTCAGACGCCAGTGCACGTCACTAGTCTCCCCACAACCCTTTAAAACAAACTAGTGTCCTCTTTAACAAAAATAAAAGAGTATCTGTTATTAGGAAATCATAAATGAACAAGAGGATATCATGTGTTTATTAAGCAAGAAATAAGCAAATACTGTACGATACTATAATGCTTCTACAAAAGTGAAAGGGTAACATGATGTGAGGCTATAAAGACTTTTAGCCAATCAGCTTCAAATACTTTCTCTGTCCGCTGTTCTGTCATTGGCTGTCATCCGAGTGCATATTATGACGGTTGTTTAGAGCACTTGTTCTAATAACGTCAATAATTACTTAATATGTAGTGACAGATACACGACAGGATAAAAAAAAAACATACTGTACTGAATTTTGTTTTTTGCACAATAAATAAAAGCAGAAGAAACACAACAACAAAATGCAAAGACGCAATGTGTGCAGATGTTTAAAACCCTGGAGGCTTATTTTAAATATTAACACGGCATTGACTCTATTCGGAGGCAAGACAATAACATCACAAACTATAACAGATAAACCTCAGTTTGGATAAAAGGTAGGCCTACTGGTGTTAAAGTTCCAGAACAGGGGGAAGTAAAACAGTTGTTTTTCTGAAAGGTTCCTTCGGTAAATTGAACATTGACTTTCTGACAGTCGGTGGACTTTGATTTGACCGGTGTGTATAGGAGTGCACAGTAACGCCTCAGTAACGCCTCTCTGGCGATGTCATAAAAAAGCCGGGCAGATGATATATAAATACAGAGCTGAAGATGCATCTTCAATTTCTGCAGAGCGGCACCCTTTATGGATTATAATCTGGCCAATCAAATCCTGCCCGGTAACCAAATACTGAGGATCAAAAGGAACCTTACATTTAAACCAAACAAGGTATTTTTTATGTTTTTATCATCAATCATAAAAGATTCAGCAACCTTTCATTTGGAAATATGAATGATTAATGTATTTTACTCCTTAGTAATCTGCTTTAATTGTGCATTTGTGCATTCTTTCTGTAACCCCAGTGTTAGGAAACATGGTGGGACTCAAACCCTCAGATGTTCCTCCTCCACTGGGGGTGAAGATGGCGAGTGCCGGGGCTGCAGCCTGTGTGGCCGACCTGATCACGTTCCCTCTGGACACGGCCAAAGTCAGACTGCAGGTATCTGTTCACAGACACTGGCAAAGAGAATTTTAGCAACATGTTAGGCTGTGGCTCAGTGGATAGTGTGCTGGACTTCAAATCAGGGGGTAGAAAGTTTGAGTCCCACTGCAGTCAGCATGTCGTTGTGTCCCTGGGCAAGACACTTCACCCCAAATTGTTCCTGTGGGGATTGGCCACAGTAATGAATGTATGTCACTTTGGATAAAAGCGTCTAACAAATGACATGTAATGTAACGTTTTCCCCACATGTCCTGCAATGCATCTGATACTACCTGTGTGATAATGATCCACAGCTTCTTATTTTGCTCTGTGATACTTTGGAAAATAGTTTGATATTGGCAGTAGCGTAATATTCATTTACAAAAGTACCTTATTTAATTAGATTTGTGAGGTACTTGTAATTTACTTTAGTTTTTATATTTTATGATTCTTCATACTCCACTACAATTTGGAAAAAAAGTAATTTCAACTCAGTACACTAATGCATTTTGATGTTATATTATGGATTAAGATATCTGGCAGTATACAAAAAAGTAATTAAAAGTTATCACCACACTTACCAGTTGCAAAATTATAATATCAAAATCAAAAGGATTTATATAAATATATTTATGCTAATATTATTGTGCTTTGAATTGCTTGTTACAGAGTATTTCTACACACTGGTATTATAACTTTTACTTCAGTTAAAGGTTCGAGTGCTTCCACCTCTGCATATTTGCTGTTATTGACAGAGCCGCTTGACTTGATGAATACATCTATTGCACTCATCAACACTGTTGAGTTGCTGCACTGTTTAGCCTAAATATTCTGGTTTAAGCCTTGAGTTCATTCTGAATCTGTGACCCCAGATTCAAGGAGAGAAGAAGGGAGTGGAGGGGATCCGCTACAGAGGGGTGTTCGGGACGATCAGCACCATGGTCCGGACCGAGGGGCCGCGGTCTCTGTACAACGGGCTGGTGGCCGGGCTGCAGAGGCAGACCTGCTTCGCCTCCATCAGGATCGGCCTCTACGACAACGTCAAAAACTTCTACACTGGTGGCACAGACCGTAAGTGGTTAATTTAAAGAACATGCAGGTTTTCTTTTAAACATCATCTTATGCTCATTTTCAGGTTCATATTTGTATTTGTGCCTCCATGTTTTAATGTTCAAAAAGCTCTTTATTTTTCTCATACTGCCTGAGCTGCAGCACCTCTTTTCACCCTCTGTCTGAAACCAGAGCCCAGTCTGCTCTGATTGGTTAGCTGGCTGGCTCTGTTGTGATTGGTCAACCGCTTATACCATGTTTAATGTGCTGGGACGCAAGCCAATAGAAGTGTGATTAAGATAAGGTAGAACTTTTTTGATCCCAATTTGGGAAATGTTTGATTGTTACATAGTGAAGCATTTCAGGCAGGGGGGGAGTGAGTGGGAGAGAAACTCCCTCTGGACTTTGGGATTTTAGCCTTGGCAGACCATTCACATGCACAAAAACATATATAACACATTTAAGGAAAGGGAAAACCCCAAGAAGCAAACCAGGATCAATTTCCAAAGAGTGTTCTTTGAAAGAAAACAAAGCCAGTGACCCCTCAGGAAGTTCAGAGGTCATACATTGTGCTGTCCAGATAGTATTGATGTCATGATGTAACACCAAATAATTCAGTGAACCTCAATTGCTTTTTAGAACCTATGATAATGCTGAAAAGTGATTAATGTAACTAATGAACACTTTGACCAAAACAGAGATCCAACAGTTTCAAAAAAGAGTTTTCATATATAATATAAAGTGTAAATGTGATGTAAAAATGACCTGTTATATGTGTATCTGTCTTTCTTCACAAAAAGTAAAACTATATATTCTTAATTAGTAATGTCACAATCATCACACCGATAAGAGTTTATAGCAATTCATTGACGTTTAAATTGAGAATCAGGACTCCGTTTATTAACAGCAGAGGTCCCCCAAATGTTTTGACAAAGTAAATAACTACTTAATTACAGTCATATAGTACATTAATTTACATTTCACCTCTTGTTCCTGTCCATCCCTCTCCAGAGGCCAGTATTTTGGTGCGGATCCTGGCCGGCTGCACCACAGGCGCCATGGCGGTGTCGTTTGCTCAACCCACCGATGTGGTGAAGGTTCGGTTCCAGGCGCAGGTGAACCTGGACGGCGTGGCCCGGCGCTACACGGGCACCATGCAGGCCTACAAACACATCTTCCAGAACGAGGGCATGCGGGGACTCTGGAAAGGTGAAGTTTTAGTAAGGATAGTACAAAATAAGGCATATTTATAGTTTACCTATACATGTAAACTGTCAATATAAGCTTAGGTTCAAACAATGTTGTTGTTGTAATGGCTAATGTGTGTTTATTTATCGTTCTGTACCCAATGAAAATCTAATCATGTATAAGAAATGTGTGTGTGTGTGTGTGTGTGTGTGTGTGTGTGTGTGTGTGTTATAAATATGACTACTCCATAATATACATGTCTAACGGATGGATGTCAATGGGATGTGTCGTTGTGAATACCTTAACAATGTCTGTGGTTTTTACTTGTCTAAAATTACATGTCTACATACAAATTGTGTATCTTACATTAAGGTAATATGCTTCATGAAAAGATGTTCACATTCCCTTGCAAAGTATATACTGTCCTTTTAGAAATATATGTGTGTGTGTGTGTGTGTGTGTGTGTGTGTGTGTGTGTGTGTGTGTGTGTGTGTGTGTGTGTGTGTGTGTGTGTGTGTGTGTGTGTGTGTGTGTGTGTGTGTGTGTGTGTGTGTGTGTGTGTGAATAAAGAATTAAACAAACAATACCTTTCTGTTTTCTCAGGCACACTACCCAACATCACCAGAAATGCGTTAGTGAACTGCACGGAGCTGGTTACATATGACCTGATCAAAGAGGCCATCCTCAAACACAACCTGCTGTCAGGTGAGCGACAGAGACATGCATGTGCAGTGTCCTGAAGGTTAGCACTTTAATAGCTAACAGATTAAAAGTTACACCTGTAAACCCCTAATCCTATGTAGTAAGTAATGCAATACTTGTTATTACTTCATTAACGTAATACAATTTACACTTCATTACTTTTTATAATAAAAACTTGCAAATAAAGCTGAAAAGTCCATTTTTACACTTTGTAAATCTCAATAATGTCAAACTTTGTTTCAATTTATCTTAAATTCAGATCGGAATCAGACCATAACAAATAAAGTTGGATTCTGCATTACATTAGCCAACGAAAAAGTATTCAGAAAAAGCTCCTAATAATTGTAGCACTTATTGTAAGTTGCCTGAAATAAAAGGTGACATAACAGTTTCATGTAACCATTTACTCTTCAATACACACACACACTACTCAGAGACAGCTGATTGGTTAAGACACAACACACCCTCTCTCACAGCTGATAACGGGGCTGATACAGGACATGGTGTATTTTCCCCTCACTGTGCAGTAAATACAGTAGTTCAAATCACATTTATCTCAATCATTCATAGTGCCCATTCACAAAGGTTATATAATCTGCTGAGTTGAGTTTCTGTACTGCTCCGCTCAGGACAAAGGCCTCTCATTCACACTCTTTATTGTCTTGTTCACTATCTCTCTCTCTCCACAGATAATCTGCCCTGCCACTTTGTTTCTGCGTTTGGTGCCGGCTTTGTCACCACAGTGATCGCCTCCCCTGTGGATGTGGTGAAAACCAGATATATGAACTCACCCCCAGGCCTATACAAAAGCGCCATCAACTGTTCCTGGATCATGATGACTAAAGAGGGGCCGTCGGCTTTCTATAAAGGGTGAGTTTCCCCTGTCTCACACTCATATCATTGGTTTAGGAATATTCAGGAACACTTGAGGTCATTGAATAGAAAATGTTATAAGAAGTGTTGCATTTGTGGACCTATTTGACCTTATATTCTTTTATTTACCTCGCAAGTTTAGTTATAGGCCAACCATTGTTCATTCTTTAACAGTTTTCACGCCTATACTAGTTCTACATACCTCTTACTTCATTTAATGGTCTTTATTTGTACTAACTTCTGTCTTTTTTCTCTTGTAACACCTGAATTTTCTTTTTCATTTGTTTTCTGTAGATTTGTGCCCTCATTTCTGAGGCTGGGATCGTGGAACGTAGTAATGTTTGTCACATTTGAGCAAATCAAGAGAGCTATGATGGTCACGAAGAAGCGGTACGAGGAAGGAAATTGAGATTCCTGTGAAAAGTTTGAAATTCGGGAAATGACTTGGAACCTCGATGAAGAAATTGCATTTTTTATATTCTTTTTTGTCTTTTGGTGACAAAGAAGAAAATCCTTTGTTGAAAAAGGAATATTTGACTTCATGTTGAACTGATGTATAAACAAAATGCAGTTCCATCTTTATATTTATAATTTTCCTAATTAACCCATTTGAAATTAAATGGGGCTCAAGGGTAACTCCCCTTTAAGAAGTTTACACTTTAAAACCCCCTTGTTGTCTTCGGGTCAAATCTGACCGATTTACTACATTCATCAATCATAACTTTTTTGTTTTACATTCGATTGCATTAAGGCTTCATGATATCCTTCACAGTAGACATTTGAACATATAACATTGCTGATCACCACTTTCATTGAATTTTTTTTTTTCATAAAGAAATGGAATTAGTACACACACACACACACACACACACACACACACACACACACACACACACACACACACACACACACACACACACATA